AGCAACGACTGAGCAAAACAAATGTCTGAATACTTAAATCCTCCATGTCAGCCAAGGCAAGTGCCTCCTGGCAGCTTTCTCTGCTACGCTGAGCTTAGCTGACATAAATATTCTCAGAAATGTAAGTTTATGAGCTCCATGTGCTCACAGATACGATATTTTAAATGTGCTAAGAGCAACAATACAAAGCAATCTAGGGTTGATCAGGAAATCTCTAAAGCTAAAAGCCCAGTTTGCTCCAGTGCAAAGTAAAGGTCTCCATGTCAGCTGTAGCAAACGCACATTGGCTATATTAAGGAATTACGGCTTTTAGTATAAATGGTTATGGAGGTATACAGACACAAACCTAAAAGCTTCTGAAATGCCTACCTGAAGTTCTGCTGGTTCTTGCTGCAAATACATTGCTGGGGCAGAAGCAATTAGTGCAAGACTAATGCCCTAATGATAAGACTTTGGAAAGCTGTGATTGACTCTGGGTGTAACTGCAGAAGGGACGCTGGGGCAGAACTGTTAATGCAAAATAGGCCACATGGCCTTTGTAATGGAATAGTAAAGGCAATTAAACGTGTAGTGTGCCAATGAGTCAGGCTCGAGATGTTTATAAAGTAGGTGGTAAAGGTGCTTGCTACTGAAATGTCATTACCAGATATTAGTGAAGATATCAGGCTGTGATATTCAAGATATTGGCCAAGTTCATTTTTGATGACATCACATGTTTAACGATATTGTAGCGTGGTAGTAGATTAGAACATCCAAGGTATATTGCATAAATTTTAGCCAGTGGAAATAGTTTACAAAGGTGTGGATCAAATTAGACAGTTTAGGGCGGACTCTAGAGGATGCCCTGCCCCAAGTCTATTGTTTGTTTGGCTCTTTCCAGCTAGAAAGGCTGACAATAAGTACCAAAAGGCCTATTGGGCAATAGTAATAAACAGGGTTAAACTTTTGTCTTGCTGCTACAACTCTGTAAATATGCACCATGATACATTTAATAACTTTCACATCATCATTTCATGTGATGAATTCGGTTTAACTGGCCAATTTTTGACCCAATCGCCAATACACAAATCACCCAGGGCTTATTCCAGAGCGGGTTGTGAAAACAAAAAAATCCATCTGATTATATGTTAATTTGCAACGTATATTTTCAACTAATGGAATAAAATATTTGAAAGATACTCGGTGAACAGAGGAAAAGGCTTAGCTTATTGAATAACATTATGCATTGCAAATTACTTTTCCAGCTCTCTTCAACACTATACCTTTATCTCTGAATGGAATGGAAGGCATGTATTAATATTCAAAAACAACACAGGGCATTCGAAATTACATATCACTATACAGAAGTTCCAGAAATATATTACTTTAAAGGGGATAATCAAAGAAAGCTTATCAAAAAGCTAATCAAAAGGAATATTTAAAGGTATCTTGATCATGATCCATAGGTATGTATTTGGGGAGAAGATAACAAGTGCTAGAAGATCTTTAAGCTTTCGAAGATGAAAGCATAATATAAATTGCTGGAAGTTAGTACTGGACAATTGTGATCCCAATTTATTAACTGGGGAGGAAAAAAGAGACAAACATGCCTCAAATCACGTTTTGGAAGGGAAATGGTAGATATCCTAATATTAAACTGTTTAAATGGAGATTGGATAACTTTCTCAAAGACACTCTTGGCTTCACCTCTTATTTATTGGTACTGACGCAGGAAGGCAAGGGTGAAATTCTGCGGTGTTTTTATGCAGGAAGTCAGATCATTCATCATTATGAGCCCTTCTGGCCTTAAAAAATCTATGACTGTACAAATCTTGCAGTGCATCTAAGAGGAGATAAACAATTCCATGGAACAGATGACTACTGAAGAAGAGGAAGTGTGTAAGAGTTAATAATGAGGAATGGAGAGAAAAATATTTGAGGACATTTTAAGAAAAAGGACTCTTGGCATTTGATGCCAGGGATAGAAGGGAAGTACAAAACAAACACCAAGAGAAGGAAACACAAGGAGATAAAAGATTAAGGAAGATTGCTCTGAGCATGAGGAATAGGTGAAGAGAGAAAGACAATGATCTAGAAGTAAGACAAATAAACAATAAAGAGCTTTGCAGATGTCAATTAAAAGCTTGAATTTTATGCAGTTGAGAAGTCAGCGGAAGGAAAAACTTCTTCCAGTGGGGAAAAAATCACAGAAATAAAGGTAGTCAGTAACACGCAAGAAGATCAACCAACTGATCAAAGCAAGGAGTGACAGATCTTTAAATTTTCCTCACCTAAAAATCTTTCCTCGCAAAAGTGAAAAACAAATTGTCCTGTTCAGCATCTATTCCCTTCCTCCTCCGAAAATGTAGCTCACGCTTGTGAGGCAACCTTGCAGAGCTCTGGGGAAGAGGAGCAGTTAGCAAGAAGCGCGTGCATCAATAGCTGTTGCTTTGGTTACAAAGACACATGAGCATATATGGTCGTGACAAGTTATTTTCAGCTTTACACAGTGAAATAGAGAGAATATTAATAAAAAAGTTGATGTTATCTCTGCTTGGTCTCTCCACGGTAGAACATCCCAGTGCAGTGTCACGTTCTCTATCATGCTGCATAATTGTTGCTGCGTGTACTAGTGACATTGAAGTCGACCTTGGTGCTGAATGTATAGAATTCATCAACACAGGAAGGAGGTGCTGGGAGATATCTTCATGAACAGTGTTTCTTAAGTGCTAGCTATTAACTTGAGTGGGAGCAGAACTGGGCACCCAGCTGCCTGTACTGCGTGTGTCAGCATATAGATATCACTGAATCCTTAGCCTAGCCCACGCTCAAGCATACGCATAAAAGGCACAAAATTGCAGAGCAATCTCTGTCTCCCAGTGAAATCAAGCACGGTGGGGGATCAAACAAATGGTTAGATCTCTACTGACACCTCCAAGCTTCTGCAGGAAGAGACTGCAATTCAGGTTCAGATGAAAGAGGCAGAAAAGAAGTGGAAAAAGGAAACACAAACAGCGTAGCGATGCCTGTTGGCACCACTGAGGTGCAGGGAAGTCTGTGTGTGAACTCTCCGTCAGGAACAAAATGAGCTCTGGACTGAGGCGGAGATTAACCTGAGTCCTAACACTTTCAAAATCTTTTGGCCCTTTCTATTTTTAAGATGATGCAATTGACTGGAAGTGATTCAGTACTAGCATTTCATCTGGTCTGGGTCATTTACATCGTAGCTTGGGATTCCAGACCCACAGCTTCTGGTTCAGACCCAGTGAGGAGGCATCTTCATGAATCTTGTCCTTCACAATGTTTTTTTCTAGTCCTGTTGCATAGCAGGACACTCTGAACCCCTGGGTGAGGGAATAGTGGTGACAGCTCCTTCTTTAAAGGCTAAGGCTTTGAAGCTTCATGGCCATGACATCAAGAAGGGGAATCAATGGAGACCAGTGTTAAGAGACAAAAAACGATACTCCATTTGAAGAAATGACCCCTTCATAGCACCTGTTTGTGAACTCCAGATTTTAAACGAGTCTGACCCAGTGGGGAAAAAATCAAACTATTCTGTACAGAGGAAATTCTCTGCTGGAAAGCATATAAGAAGGTTCACAGACACTGCAAACACTAGCCCAGTAGGTAATTCTCTGAATGAGATGCACTTTGCACTCACAGCAGCACTGATATTCAACAGCTCCCAGCCCTGAGATTTATTCCATTTTACCAATAAGAATGCAACTAATAATAGTTCAAAAAAGGAAGAATTTTCTGTGCAAAAGTAAAAGACAAGATTCTGATCTTTATTACACTGACTTCTATCAGACCTATTTTGCACTACTTCCCACACCACAGTACAACAAGGACGAGCCCTCTTGTTGTCAGTGATGTTCTTACAAGTTAAACCACAAGTAAGTGGGAAAAGAATCAGGCTTCAACTTTTTTATCAGAAGAGATATGCATTATTTCTGCATTTTTATTAAACATTTTTACTAAGTTACCAAAGTATTTTGTGCTTGACTTCTTCCATCTAATCAAAGAGCAGTCCATGAAACGATCCCTTGAGTGCCGTGCCAGTTGTAAGACCACGGCTTTGGAGCAGCTGCATGGACCAAAATTAGGTCTGAGGAGAATCACAAGTAGAATTGAGCCTCAGAGTGTAAGGACTGTTCATAAGTTGCTTTGGCAAGATAATAAATAGTTCTTTTTTTTTTTTTTTTCTGGGTGCACACCTATACTTCCACAAGTCTAGGCTCGGAAGCAGGAAAGTGAGGCTGGAAGGTCTTTCACCATCCAAGGGCTTGAATGCTGCCCTCCCTCTGAAATGGACTTTGGTTGCATCAGTTTGTGATGGCTGGGACACAATCTGGAGCCATTAGCTCCTGTAGCAATGAACTACCAGCAAAAGGGTTTATCATCCAGGTACTCTCAAGTTTGTGAGAACTCTGCTCAGAGCAGCAGGAGCTACTCTTAAACTCAGATTTGTGCTGATGTGGCTGAACCGTTAACTCAAATAAGAAAGTTTCACTCAGGAGACAAGTCTCATTGAAGTCAATGGTCTACTCCCCACATAAGTAATTGTTGTAGAACTGGGGTCTCAACTAGTCATCCTTCACAGAGCACTTTAGGTTTCTCTGAGACCATTTGTTATGGTCTTCCCTCCCAGCTCCTTCCAGCTGAAGAGTTTGGAAAGGTGTCAGAGGATTACTATCATGCAAATTGAAAAAGAAAAGTGTCACTAAGGTAGGAAGGCTTCACAAAAAAATAGCTTTGGGGACCATACAGTATCTAGAATTAAATTTTATAGCAGTCCATAAAATTGAAGTATGAGCCAAGGGTTAACAACCTTGAATTTTGCCCTTAAAATTAGTCCAAGAAAATCTACCTCATTATAAATACAGTAGTACTATATAGTGTCCTGTTGATTGATATGCCCAAGAGCTACCTTTGTCGGCAGTCTTTTAAGCAGCAATCCTTCATTTTGGTCTTAATAGTGAGATGGGCACCTCCTTCCTAGTTGGGCTATCAATTTTTACCTGCCAATACAGTTTGATGAGCTTGCTTATATGCTGCTCAGTGCCTCCCGACAGCCAGTACATATAGTCAGCAATCATGGCGCTCCTGGTGACAAAAGCAGAATAAATGAGTGTGTAGGGATGAAATGATGCATATAGCGATATTTAAAGAAGATAACATTAAAAGATTGTAACATGAAGTTTCTATCAGAAGATTACACATAACATTCAATCTTTGTCCAATTTTAAGATAAACATTAGTATTATTTTTAGATATCTAAACTACGTGCAAGTGAACAGCCCTGCATTTTTCTCTTTGATCGCTTTTCTGTATTTTATTTTGAGGAAATATTTAATGCCTTCTCAAAAATGGTTGGGTTTTTCTTTTTCTTTTTTTTAATCTATTTGCCTGTGAAATACAGTAAAGATAAGTAAATTTATTCTAGGGCAGTATCAAAATGTAGAGCACTGTAGTTTGTCAAAGGGTATCACCATCTAGGGCAAACTCAGACATACTTCAGCTTTGATTAAACTGTATCTTAAAAAAAAAACACAAAAAAGCCAAAAACCAAAGCAATCAACTATCTTTGTACCTAATTGAGTATGCTTTAGTACTCCCACTGTCTGTTACAGCCATTGCATTACTCTTTCTGGAGTGTGAGATATTAAAAACTATTGTGCAATGGATATTAATGCAGAGTCTTGACAGACTTGAGAAAATCAGTTTGCTTTTATGGCTGCTTCTCCACGCTGCTCTCCATTTCCTTTCCTCTAGAGAGTCCAAATCCAATTAAATGTGACTAGATGTAATTCCAAATTGTCACTTTAGTCAATTAAACATATAATAATCTTGTGTACCTAATTACCAGCACCAAAAGTTTATTTGTTGATGTAGTGCTATCAATGTGTGCTTCTGCATGTTTCCCTTATCATTGCCTATATATTAATTGTGCTTTGACATTACTGTAAATTGAATTTGAAATTTCCCCCTAGTTAAAAGTGTCTTACAAACAGTAATCCCAATCCTGTTGTAATACCCTTTCAGAGTGTATTTTCCAAGGCTGTATTATGTTCTTAATGAGATATAACCAAAAATACAAGGATTTAACAATAAACATTTCAAAGCAGGCCCAGTATCAGGGGGTAACATATTGTTACAAACAGGAACTAAATCTGCCCTTAGATGTTTGCATACAGCTCCCGTTAATTCACCAGGAGAAAAGGAATTCAATAGGACCATGGTTTTCTGCATAAGGACAGGGTTTAGCCCTAAGCTTTATCCAACTCTCATTCAATGCATTGGCAAAAATCCTCTTGACTGCACTAGAACAAAGAGCAGTTTCTAATTGAACATTTTCAGCCCAGCTGATAGAGGATGAGCAAAGGATGAAATCCTCATTGAAGGAACTCTTGTTGACTCCAAATGGTGCCAGGATTTAATCCTAAAAAATGACATAAGTAGCAAGTATGGATGAAATAGAGAAGGTCTCCAAGACTACCTGCTTGACACTAAGAGGACCACTCTTGGTTGTGAGATGTTTGCTGTGTCTGAAACCCAAAGCATAAATAAGAAGGGGCATAAAAATAGAAGAAGACTTTGGTTAAATTTGTGACATTATTCTATATTATTGTGTGTCTGGTCTAGCAGAGGTTGCCTACAAAACTTTCATCTCTTTCGACCATGGCTGTAAGTGGTTCTGCAGTCACTACTAGTGAATATGAGTGATGGTGCCCTCCTGCGGCCAGTTTATAAAAAAGAAGAGATTATTAATCCAAATTTAGACCAATTCTCAAGCCTCAATTCTCAGTACTGAAGCCTGATATTTTTGGAGCCAAAGGACAATTTCAAGTGGTTGTCCACAATTTGTTATATAGATTTAATGCACCCAAACTTCTGTTATTTCAAAGATTATATATGGCTAGTCCTTAATCCCAAGTGTCCCCTGTCCTTGTCCCATACTGTGCATTACCATGGGACGGCATTGGGGCAGGGCTGCCGTGGGTCAAACGCAATCAGTGGGATGTAGAGACACAAGCCACTTGCTTTGTCAACTCTCCTGCAGGCCACAGTCCATCATCTGCCAAAATGAGGATCCATCCTGCTGATGGTACAGCCTGACATTCGGCTTGTGATCTCTCATTGCTTTTCACTTTCTTCTCCCAGCTTCACATCTCTTTCAGAGGAGACATTTAGAACCCTGCACGAATCTGGAATCAATTCCTAGACAAGTCACTTCATCTTTTGCCTTTTCCTAGCATCAACTGCAAAATGAGGGCAATCATATTCGACTGATTTACCTATTTGGTGTGTGAATCCTCCTGGCACAAACTCTCTTTTACTAATTCTTAGCAGAGTGCTCAGCACAATGGCACTCTGATCATGGCATAGTCTCTAGGTACCACGGCACTTCAGACAAACTCCTTTCCGCTTTATTCTTCCTTCTTAATTTGTTCTTATTTAAATAATCATACTCCCAGTTATATTTTAAGCACATGTGCTTAGTTTTTCAATGTCTGCTTTTGTCCCTGCTTAGATTTCTCTTGTACCATTTTGCAGTGTATCATGAACAGCAAGGAAAAAATGCGAAAACCCACCAGAGCCTTTAAGAGTCCCTCCATCACTGTTTTAGTTTTCACTTTCTTGGTCATCAGGGAGCTCAGAGAGGTTGGGGCTGATGCTTCCTACTGTGACCTTGTGTCTTGATCCAGCGTATGTAGGGGGGGTGGACTAGATGATCTCTAAAGGTCCCTTCCAACCTTAACCATTCTGTGATTCTGTTACTTAAAAATTCCACTTTCAAAACATGCATGGACATTAAAGTTATATGTAGATGGTCTATGTCCTATCCAAATTGTGCTTTAGTCTTTAGGCATTTTTTGGAGAGAGATAGTTGTTCTTTAATGGCTCTGATGTTTATTTCACAGAACCAAGGTTATACGTGCTATAGGGAACTATGTAGAAATGCCCAACAGAAATTCCCTAGCTCTAGAGACTCAGGTGATATGTATCCTATCTGAATACAGTTATAGGTTGGGGCACTCAAAAATATTTAGGGACCTAAACATCCATATAGGAACCAAAGGACCCACTGAGATATCTAGGAAAATTAAAAGCCTGGCTTTCATTGGAATACATGAAGGCGCAAGGCAGTGACTCGGGTCCCTCAGTCCCATGAGTACCTATCACGTCTAAATATCCCGGAGAATCTGGCCTTTAGAAATTTGAGTAACAATGACTTTCAGTGAGAGACTTGTGAGCCCATGAGGCTCTCTGAAAATGGAACATAGATAAAATATCATTTAAGAAAACTTTGTTTATGAACTTATTATTTAAGATTCTCAGCTAGTGACCAGACTAATTAACATCTTTTTCTTTCTCTCTCATTAGAGTGAATTAGAGCCTATGATCTTCTGCATATATCTCAAGACACCACACTTGCTTTTACCTCTTCTTTAAGGCTTTACGTCTAAAGGCATTGCAGAAAAGTTGACAATCCTTCCTTTGGGAATAAGGTTGTCTGGAGATTTACTTCTCTATTTGGAGGCACTTTCTCTATTTTAGAAAAAACAGATTTTGGATTTTGGGATAAAACTTTGCAAAATGCAATGCTTGTGTTTTCTTTGGTTTACTAATGAAGAAAAGAGTGATATGTTTTTCCAAAATTAATGAAAAAAAATCAAAAAGAAAAGAAGAGGAATGGAATCCACAGGGTATGTGGAGCAGCAAGCAGGGGCTTTCAAGACCACTCCCAGAGGATTTGCTCAGCACTTTGATCTTTCGGGACACGAGTGCTTAAATTCAAATGATTTTTTACTAGTAGAGCTAGAGTGGACTTCCACAACATCATCAAACCCATCTGCATGACCGGAGTAAGCCTTGATCTTGTAGTAAAGAGGCTTGCAATATCTGCTCACTGGCCACTTGGTGGTGTAGGACAATAAGATATATGTATTCACATGTAACTGAGGAATGCACCTCAGATCCTGAACTCTGTGTTCCTCAGCCCGGCTGCATAAAGTTATAGGACCGGCAATAAAAGAGTCAGAGGTGGCTTTTTCTGTGCAGCAGCTGCTGACACCACCAGCAAGCGCTCAGCAGAGCCCATCACAGCCAAGAGGCAGCATTAGAAACATGCTGCATTTTCTGCAATACACTCAAGCACCATACCAGTATTAGTGCTAATGGGCTCTGTAGTGTTCAATTCTCATTGCAAATGCTGCAAAATAGGAGGGCAACACCCAAGGCCAGCTGCTCAGGTCCCCTTCAGCAGCACAGAGAAGAAGGAAGCCCTACAGAAGAGGAGTATCTATTCCCATGCACACAGCAGAGCCTTAGGAGGAATCAGAGCCTGTGCACATTAAAGTAACCTGTAACCTTCTCTGCTAACCAACCCCAGTTACTAGTCAGATAAGGAGACTGATAAGCACCATAAAACTACCTGTGCTCCCTACTTCAAGTGATCCCACCTGGGCTTGCAGTAAGAGGTACTAATAAAAAGCCTCAGCTAAGGCTAGGTGCTTTTGGCAGTGTGCAGGTCTGTGGTGCTGGGAAGGTAAGTAAGTCCCTGTGTTTGTTTATTTCATTTTTTTTTTTTTAATGGAGAGGGAAGTTTTTTTGTTTGTTTTGGCAGGACTTTTGCTATTCCTATTCAGATGGTTTCTAATGTAGGTGCCTTGGTGTTTTGAGATCCCTTGTGGTTTCTAGATTTCAGCATCCTCGTACTGAGTCTGTAACAGAAGATATAAAAGAAACCACTGCCCTCTTTTGCATGACCTTTCTTATTTTCCTTAGAGATTAGAAAAAGCAGGGGTTATTTATAAGTGGAGTAAGTAGCAGGCAGTCCTTTTTAATGTGATTACCTCCTTTGAAAAGTAGATGAAATAATAGCACTTAATTTCTTGGCATTTTCCATATATTCCAAGTAAAGGTAGATTTTGCTATATTGAGTCATGTGAAAATCATCAGACAATGAAAGACTAAATGTAAGTCTGGAAGACTGAGCATCAATGAAGTTACTGAAGGCAGGTTTTCCTTATGGGTAGATTAGCCCCAAAATGTGGGCAAAGGTGTTATGGCAATGCCTTATCTCTTGTCTGTGTGGGGTA